ACCAGGCAGGCATACAAGGTACTTTAAAACAATGCTTAAGATATTAGTTGACAGAGCTCTAATGCGGCACATCTCTTTTTTGTTCGATGTATTTTGTTTTATGCTCGATCGATTCACGTGTTGTCTTCACGTGATAATAACCAATGTAAACAATCTGTTCCCAGATGTCCGCTCTATATATGCTGTGAGATTTGATTTTGACTTCATACACTATAAACAGTCTGCCTGTTTGCCGTTCAACAAATAATCTCGTAAAGACATGGCTAGGAAAAGCCAAGTATTTTTGCATACGTTTTAACTCAAAAACAAAGCAAAAAGCAGCGACAAAAATACAGGACCACGTTTTTCTACTACATTGAAGACCACATGAAAAGATTCAAGCCCTTTCGCGAAATTTTTTTTTCGCCCAAATTGTCACTTAGCATGGTTTTGCATTCACCCCTTCAAATATAACAATCACAAACAAGCAGTTACAATCTGTTATGGTTAGCCCATGGAGATACCCATAGAGATTGAATTAATTGTGTTTCTAATTCTTCTGTATTGCACTCACCTGTTGACCACTGAATACTGTATTTACTGGAGGGAACTGGAAATGCTGCTGGTTATAAGTGGGTTGCTGTTTGGTAACTTGTTGCTGTTATTTAAGTGTATAGGAAGTGAAAATTATTTTTAATAGTAATTTGAAAGAATGTACTGCTTGAAATACACCAAACCAATTTGAAAAATTTAGGGTGGAAAAGGATGATTTTACAAGCCTTCAAAAATGTGTCACCTTGCCCTTGAAATGGTCAGGGGAGTCGGTCAAGTCAAGAGCAAAAATACCATCAAGTTCTTATTGTGCACAAGGAGATCTTAAAGTGAGAAAACAAGTAACTAATAATTTCACTCACATGTTTCCATAACAGCCACATTAGTCAATTTATTCTTTTGCAAATTATGTCACCCTAGGATTGCAACTCAATATTGTGCATGCAAACTTGCCTCAGTGATTACGTCATTAAAAACAGCACCATGCATTCTTGCTTAGTACTTCAGAAACAAACGTTTTTGTCATTGAATTTCAGCTTAAACTTTTTGAAGCAATTTGAGTTTGCATATCTGCCCAGCAAACAAACAATGCAAAGACCTGATCATATGATCATGGGTTGTTTAACTTCCTAGAAAATGAAAACAAAACAAACGTATTCATTTTACCTGACAAACTCCATGACATGTAATAGTAGTAATGAAATTTGCATGCGAGGAGTAGTAGTCTTGAAAAACACCAAAAAACAACCTCTAATCAACTTTGAACTTCTTCACCAATTCTGACCAGTGTTTAAAATTGGCAGCAAGAGACTAGTCTCTCTCATAATACTTTCAAAACATTCTTGAGCCTGACAAGAGTCCAAGAACCGGGTAAAATATGGCTTCTATTTACTATCTACTTACTATTTAATATTAGAATGATTACTTTTGTCACCTCAAGGGACTAAAAAAAAATGACCAGGGTGCTATTGGGCCAGCCATACTCTGCCCCAGAGTCCCTAAACATGGTTGCAAAATGAGTTGAGAAAACAGTACAGAAAACAGTGATGTCCAGGACTCTTCTCAAAACATCAAGTGAACCCAAGGAAGAGAAAATCGAAGAGGAATAGGATAATGACATTGAGGTAATCTACTGACAAATCCCGCCTTATCAGAATGTTGGTTGTTGTCATGTGGTATTTGATCACACAGTGCAAATGCCATTTGGACGGTAAAATGGTATAACATTGAGGGCTTGTAAAGTCATCAGTTTTTACACTAAAGGTCCCAAAATTTGGAAAAGTGTATTTGAAATGGTAAATTTAATAAATAAACAACAAAACATTTTCACTACAAATGCACTTTAAAAATGGTATGCTCCATAACAAACATGCAAAAGGATTTCAAAATAGCCATGAAATGAAAATAATGAGACACAAACATATAAGTTTCCATTTCAGACCATATGTTGTCTATGGGCTGTTTCCTGAATGTCTTAGAGCTGAATTCTAGCCATTGATTGTTACTGAACAAATTACAAGAGTGACTGCCCTGCTGTGCAGCATGTCTTTTAGCTCAAAGTGTTTAATTTGTGGTTTGTGGTTTATCACTATCTAACATTAAATACATTACTCACTGATCTGAGTCCATTTTTGGGCCCAAAATTACTCTGATGAAGTGGCTTGGCTTTTATCCTGGCCTAAAAGAACAATGTTGACCAAAAGGCATTATGATTCCTCTCTTTTCTTCGAGAAGCTTATGCAGCAAGCTGCCATACAAGTCGGTGACCAATATCTTGTTGCTTTTACCACAAGAGAGATTTCCACTACTTGTTCACCAAGCATACAAAAAGGGTTTTATGTCTGGGAAAGTTATGCATAAACAAGTTAAGTTTGCCAAAGATATAAAGGAAAACTGCTCAGCTCAGGTTTGGACATCTCATGTTGCACACTATTTGGCTGATATCATAAACGAAACCAATCCTGCTGATCAAGGAAAGGGCCTGCCAAGGACAGGCATGGTGTAGGATTGAAAATGAGGTGAGCAGTAAAAGGAAGTAAAGAGGAGAGTAGGGGGCCAAGGTTCTAAGGTTAATGATGGTAATAATTTATGTTAGAGGAGTCACTGAGGGCCAGCAATATGACAATGTCAATAGTAAGTAAATTCCTTACCATAATAGGCTTGCCTCTAAAAGTTTTAACTTCTTCTCTGAGGTATCTGTATGCCTGAAACATGGGTTGGATAATAATCACGAAATACATGTATTCATATCATAGCAACATCTTCTGATATGTGCAAGAGGTGTTCTCTTCACTCTTTATTACTCTTCTACGCAATCAAAACAAATTATTATAACACTAATCATTAAGTAACTATGATTCCTGTTAATACAAGGTTTGTACTCTTTTGGGCTTTTGAAATTTCATGACCTTTTCTATGATCTTTCTGAGTTTTCCTTAAGCTATGTTAAGCAGCTGTTCTCAAAGTATTGTCAAAACAATCTTTTATTCAAGGTATTTCCCACATTACGATGCATAAAATGTGAGCTAGTGTTTATTTTTTACTGGGATTAACTGGTTTCTTGACTTGTCTGTTGTGTTTTCAACTTTTTAATTTTTTGTCTGTTCATTCTCAGAAAATGTATTGCTTTTCCATGACCCACAAATTGATTTCAGGACTTTCCAGGCCTGGAAAATGACATTATAAAATTCCATGACTTTCCAGGTTTTCCATGTCCTGTACAAACCCTGTAATAAGGTTCACATAAGAAACTAACATGCTTTTGAAGTTAGGTAACCTAACCCTGATTCTATCTTAAGTTGGTTGTCAGGCACAAATGCTGCTGCATGGTCTGATAAGGAGGCTTCCTTTGTACTACTACCCAACCCCCCACCTCAACTGCTACTTAGAGAATTAACCAATCAGTGCAACTTTATAGGTGTTCAATCCTATGCTTATGTACATTTAGCCTAATGCATATTTGCATTAAAACATGTACATCATTATTTGTTATAACATAGGTAGTTCTTTTAGGCACTAAACATTTGCCTACCTTTTGGGCATTGTCCTCTGAATCAAACTGGACATACCAGTAATTGTTGTGTGCAAATTCACAGTGTGTCCAACTTGGACAGTTTTCCCCAGAAAAAAGGGCTTTTACATCCTACAGTGGATTGGAACAAAAACATTAACTAGAGTAGTTTCCATTTGTCACAGCTCAGGAGCATTAATTTGTTCAACAAGAAAATGATATACATAGACCTGCAGTACACAAGATAACATCAAGCTGCTGCTCATGACTGTAAACCTTGTTTGTTTGTTTTATTTTTACTATTTCTAGATCTAATTTCTTATGAGCAACCTTTTATAGTCCTTTGCTCCATAGTGTCGCTGGCAGCTGATTATTTGAGGAAAATAGAAGTTGAACTTTGCAAGCTTGGTTTTGAGCCTTAACTTCCCTAAAACTTTGTTCTTGTTATTGCAAGTAAATTTCTTTTGGTCTGAGCAGCAAGTATTTTAGTTTATTAGGACAGATTCGGTCTACATACTTAGACAAGATCTCTCTGGACATCCAGACATAATTATTAGTAAGTGGTGTCATTAAGGAAATTCTGGTGAAGTGTACTACAGTTCGCCTTAACTCATGCAAACTTGGACTCCTGCATGCATTTGAATGTGTGTGTGATTAGTTTGACAACAGGTTTCTTTGTACTGCACTGCATCTTTCACACAAAAAGTGGTTTTAAGGGTTTAACACCATGGCCACATCTGATATTCTTGAATAATATTCTCACACTTAAATGCAACCAGTAGTATTTCATTGGAACTTGCCAAGTTGCTGTCTGTTTTAAAAAAAGCTACAGGGTATGGTAGTTGAACAAATGCCCAATCTCCCAGGTGGGAGAAAACAGTCACCACTACATTATTATTTATTATCGAATTTGAGAGACAGTTAACACCTGCATATGAGAACCTATGATTTTGAGGTTCGGGCTGATCAAGTCCTTATTTACTGGGTGCTCAGTGAGAAACACAGGCGACCCAAGCTCTCAATGTTATCCTTTTTTTTCCTTTTTATGCAAACGTTCAGGCTAACGTGACATATGGCGTGTACTATTACATAACGACCAAATTTGACCACGCGAAACACAGGCGGCCCAAGCTCTCAATGTTATCCTTTTTTTTTCCTTTTTATGCGAACGTTCAGGATAATGTGACATATGGCATGTACTATTACATAACGACCGAATTTGACCACGCGAAACATGACTCTCGCCTTGCATCATATGGAGGTGTTGTGTTACAACTGTTTGAATTTATAAAGGTTTGTATGGGAATGCAATGGCTTTGCTTGAAAAGCCAATTATTCTTATATTTTGTGAATAAAATCTACTTACNGGCTTGTTTTCTCCAAAACACTTGAAAGATGTGCCTGTGTTTTTTTTTTCACAGCTGGAGATAAATGGAAGAAAGTTGAGTGTCCGTCAGATGAAGAAATCGAAGAGGAACGATTTGTTTTACTTAACACACAAATTTTCTTTTCACCGATAAACAAGAACTATTCTAATTATCAAATTGTCAAGGCTCATCACGTTCTGTTGCCACCTTTCGCGATAACAATAAAACCACTTATAAATTTAATACACACTGATATCGATTAATACAACTAAGCAGCGATTCAACGAGAAGTAGCGCTACTTGACCGAGATAAAATCCTTCATTTTTGAACGAGTCCCCTCAGACTAATTAAATTAATTTACACTTTCAGTCTAGGTGGCATGAAGTCTGCAGCAATATTTGAGCAGCTTCAGTTTTTTTGTACAATTTTTAATGCCATCGGGGAAAGTTTTGGCTGCAGTTATGAACATTTTGGTCTCTTTGGTAGAGACCAAAAAGACCAAAAACAACAGACGATATTTCTTGAACCAAGTTAGGAGTAATTCCAAAAGATATGCAGTCACAGTAGCTCTCTTGTATTATGCTAACGACACTAGAACACATGCCTATAACATGCTAGGGTTCTACCACAAGGTAAAGCACTCAACGTTAGCATGTGATCTTGTATGAAATGTATCTTCCACCTAATATGTAGTTGACACTAATGCATATTAATCTGCACATGCATTTAGATCAAAATATTGGTTTTGCTCTAAAGAGAAAAGTACCACAAGGAGAGCAAGGGATTTTCTGAAACAATTATATAGCTTTGTGAAGTTATAAAAGAAGTAACGCAAGTATAACACATTTTACGTAGTGCCCCATCCCACCTACCCCCTTCCTGCAAGGCTAATGAACTAATTGAAATTAATTAATTATACAAACATTAAAGTTTACACCTTATTGCCATAGTACCTCATTAAATAGTGCCTTATTGCAATAGTGCTTTAGTGGACATCAACCCCCAAACCATCCCAAAACACTTCAAAATCGGTAAAACGGTCAACTCTAAATGGCACAAAACTCTCTACAAGGCACAACAACTGCTCACTGGAAACTGTCTAAAACTCTGCCGATAAACATTCACGCAACTTAAATTCGTACGCGCAACTAACGCACGCATAACTTAAATTCAAAATGTTTCCCTGAGCGCGCTTACTATTTGCACATCAAACCACTTCAGAACTGTCTTCTTAACAATACTAGTGGAAAGAAAAACATGCTGTAATGTTGCAAAGGCCTTTATTCACTTGTTCTTATATGCAGATGTTACTGTACTTTAGTTGGCAAAAGACAGAGAGCAGAATTCAAGCATATGAACATCCAAGACATTTGAAGAGATCATACATGTAGGAGGATATTGTCTCACTTTGTCTGTTGGTTTCCATATCTTTTCTCTTAAATTGTTCACAATTAACCATTACCAAGGAATAGGCTAAATGTCAAAACTAATTACCTCAATCGGGGTTGACTCAGGAATCTCTCGTAGAACCACTATACACCGTTTAATGTTTGGACGAACCTTCTCTCCTGACTCGTCAACTTGCAGATTTGGAGATTCTATATTAAGTATTAGATAAGAACCATACTAGTTACTAAACAATTTCTTCCAACACATACATACTCATGGCAAATTGGTTCAAGATAATGGACAATTCTGACTGGTTCTCTGAAAGACCAGATTTTGTGTGCATCTCAGGGTCTGAAGAGTTGCGTGAGTACCAATCATCAATCAAGCAGTTTAGCCTGGGATATATACAATGTAGTCTACCACTATAAGAAATTATTGCTAGCATATAAAATTCATTGAAACCAGAGTTTAGTTGAGAGAATTCTCACAATTTTATAAGGAAGATTGAGAGTATAGCCCTTTAAGAATTTACAACGTGCTGGTATATTCATAATCAAAGAAGTTTTCTTTTAATTGAAGGCTTTCATGCAAAAAGATTGTGATTTGGGCTGATTTTTATTTTTTTGCAGGATTGAACTAATTTTTGGCAGATTGACTTGTTTTGACATGAAAAGCATCATTGCGTAATTGTTTTTGTTGATTTGCACTTTGTTTTCAAGAAATAACGTATGCAAAAAACTCAGTTTTCCAAGGGTATCTTTTGGAGATCTTTTGCTGAGCGAAAAACAGAAGAAACCTTTTGTTTTGCTAAAGGATGAAGTCATCAGAGCGTGGTATTTGCTGCTAGTTTTATTATTCATACAATTATGCAATTCTCTTGTTGTTGCTTCGTTAGCACAAGCGAACAAGGTGCTGAACGGGCTGGATTTGAGTTTGTTTTGCCGTGACACCCGTGCGATACGAGGACGGTCGATGTTTTTTTCTGGTTTATTTCTCTACTCCTTTCAAAATAAAAACAGCTATTTAAAAAACCATGCTGTCGAAGCTGCTAAAAGTAACCGTTTAAGTTTTCCTTCAAAGGATTCGCTTCAAAAGATTTTTTGCACACGTTATTTCTCAAAAACGAAGCGCAAATCAACAAAAACAATTACACAACGATGCTTTTTATGTCAAAACAAGTCAGTCTGCCAAAAATTAGCTCGATCCTGCAAAAAATAAAAATTGGCCCAAAATGCTACAGTATTGTGCAAAAGTAACGCAAACGAATTTTGATGAATTTCCTGGCTTTTCGGGGCTTTTCAAAGAAATTTCGCTTGAAACGATATTTCCACGAAATTTCCCCACATTTTTGTAACACCTATTGTTTTGATCTGCGCGATTTTTTTTAACGATACTTTGCTTTGCACGATGATTCACTGTGAATTTTCGAGCGATAATTCGCTCCTCCCGAAAAGTCGCTGCGATTTTTCGAATGATAATTCACTCCTTCCAAAAATTCCATCTATTGTTTATCAATAAGCTAAGAGTGTTTTCAAAACACAGTTTGCTGAGTGAAATATATAAATGACCTTTCCAATCATTGCGCACGAAAGCAGCCATCAATCTGCTGAAATAGCATCTCAGCTCGACAAAATGTTAGCTATGAAACTCACCTGGTTATTTCAGAAGGAATGCGAAATTGCTGACATGATCCAAAACCCCAAAACACCACAGTTCCGATAAATAAATGCAATTGTACCTAATCACTAAGTTATACACTTGCCTAAACGCCATTTTCACAGCATGTAGAACCACACAATTTTTCCCACGCCAGACCCCAGTCTTCGCGCCAGTTTGCTGCCATAGTGACCCTTCGTGTTTGTTACTTAGACTAGAAATCATTCGCTCATTCGCTTTACATTTAAAGCACCTCGATGGTCAGTCATCATGCCTAAAGTTTCAAATTATACAAGAACTCAGATCAAGCTCCTTCACAAGCAAGATCTCCACCCAACTGGAATATTCAGGTCATTGAAGAACAAAGGTTTACTAGTAAGCCACGCTAGCGTCTCTCAAATCATCAAGAAACTACAAATTAGTCAAATTACTGGCTCCGTGGTGAATCTACCACGCAATATTAGAAGGTCACACATCAGTTCTCTAGTTTTTCTGTGATATATGAATATATTCTCGTTATGCCGCAATATTAGAATTTTCATATTAAAAGTAAAAACTCGAAATAAATTCTGAAAACGGATCGTTGTTGCAATCATCCATATCTGTTTATCCCTGTAAGTTAGAGTCCCAATGATGATTATTAAGGTGATGAAAATGGGGCAAAATAAATGTGAACTGTTCGAAGACTTAAAGCAACACCCAGTGACCTCAGTCCCAGGTCGTTCAAAATGTGGATAACGTTATCCAGCCTTCGCACAACTTGGGCCAGGGGCCCGTTTCTTTAAGGTCCCGAAAAGTTTTCGCACCCAGAAAACCGTAGCAAAATCTCAAACCCTATGATTATAGCGCTGTGTTATTCACATATCCTTAATATGAACAGAGGTTCTCTTCATACAAGAACTTTCAGGCGTATACACCTCTCGGTTTTTAGATACAGATTATCTAAAAATGGCTAATAAACAACCGCGAGGGGACTGGGATGGAAATAAACAACAGCTGAATGGTTTCGTGAGCGTGCACGAGTGTTCAGATTGAAAAACCCTCATGAATTGTTTGCGACTGTTTACTTAAGTGGCATAAGTACACAGAACTGGAGATGTTTTTGTTTTGTTTGTGAAACAAACTGAGCTCATTGTCTTCATAATGCGGTTCAGTGTATTCTAATTCTCTGCGTATGAAACTGGGCCCAAGCTGAAATTGAGCAAGCGAAGCTGGTTGAAAGCCTTTCGCAAATTTCAGGTGAGTAAGATTTTAGTAATGTTTTTGTCATAGATAAAATGTTATCCCCTTAATCGGTGATGATGACTGCAAACCGGCACATATTTACAAACAGCTTATCGGCATGTATTTACAAATTTATTGCTTGTAAGTTACACGACAATTTGTTCGTATCAGTCGCTAAAAGAAAATTGCACGAACGCTGCAGAAGTGCCATTCAATGCGTTACAAAATTTCATGTACTGCCTGGTGAATTATCGTTTGTGCTCACGAATTTTCTTTAGCTTAACGAAACTTCAAAGAAAAATCGCCCTTTGTTCAAGCGCATTAAAGCTCGATGCGCCAAGAAATTTCACTCGAACTTTCATGCGAACTTTTGTCAAAAAGTTGTGGGAACAAAGAACTAGATTAGTGTATTTCGCTTGCGTTACTTTTGCATAATACAGTATACACACCCTTTTTGCATGAAAGCCTTCATTTATTAGATTAGTATTCATTTAAGTAATTTTAGAGCTTTTTAAAAATTAATTTTAAATAGGTTTTTCTAATTACATTCTTTTTATCTTTAGTTAGCAGATAATTATGTAATTTGAATGAGCTTTTAGCTCACAGACATTATGTATCTAAATAAATAAATTTGTTACAATGAAGGAAACAGAGAATTTGCATGGGTTTCAATAAGTTTTTTCAGAGGCGGTCATCAGCAATGCTGGACAATCCCGTATAATTTTGACACATTTCAAGTGAGGTGTCATGCGTATCATATATTATATCGTATCCATATCGTTGGGAAAATTTGTGGGCAGATTTGCTTTGCAATTTGAAGATACAAGGCAAAATAATGTTTTCTACGACTCAAATAAACTTAATTTTTGAGAGGACTGATAACCCCAGGAAATAGCACGGGACAGCAACTGTACTATATAAATTACTGATGAAGCAGGTGTGCAAAGTTCTGTTCATTGCCCCTCAATTAATTTTACTTGTTGCCTGATTGGCTGAGCTGTCGAACAATATCACACATTAGTGCACAATGGCTGGAGGTTGTCTACAAACTGGTGACATTTTCTCATTTCTCTGGATTTAGAAAAATTACTGGGGGATAATTTAATTGTGGGTAAGAATAAAAAATGGACATTCACCATTACTCAACATATTTTGCTTAAAGGGAATCTTGGCTAAAAAACAGTAATGTTTTGTTCCAAATCACACGCTTGTGTTTGTGTTAAATTGTTTCAGCAATTTGAACTAGATAATTCTTTGCTGTTTTGAATGGTAAGCTTTTCCTTTCAGCAATTTTAGGATTTCAAATTACCTGTGTGCTGCCATGTTTATTTTTGCAAAGCTTGATGAGAAATTATGAAGACAATGCGCAGTTGGATGTTTTTGAAATACAGCATTGTGTGGATCTAGGGATATAAAATTGCTTCTAATCATTTATAATTCACATTCCAGATGAATATGTCCAGTTCCAATGAGAAATCGTCTTCTGTGGACTCATTATTGAGATCTTACTGTGCAATGACGTCATAAATTACTATAAAGCAAACATGGCAATGCCCAGGTGATTTCAACTGAAAACCAAACACTTCGTATTCGACAGGACCGATTAAAGAGAACCATTGGGTAAACTTTGGAACTTGAAATGCTTTTCAGCCAAGATTCCCTTTAAGTGTGAAGTTTAGATATATCTGGAAATTGTTATTTGAAAGAAATTATCATGACAATTCTACCAACAATTACATAATTTACTCTCAATTTCTCTGACAAAAGAGTCAATTTGGACTTTGCATCATCAATTATAACCTCAAAGAGACCTTGAGCTCTTAATTCAAGGAACCTTGCATTAGTGAAAATACAAATCATTGTGAACACTCTAAAAGCAACTGAAAGTGTTAACAATAATTTGCATATTTCATGGAAAATAGGTACAAGAACAGAGTATTAAAATGCAAAGTTCTGAACATAGCTGGTTTAAGTAAGAATTCAGAGAGTCCCAGTAGTACAAACTTGCACTTCAATTCATCCCACACAAAATTTGACTGCTTGGTGTATGTTGTAATCTCACCTCTCATAACATCCTTAACTAGGTCAAGGTTACTTGTTAACTTTTTAACCTGCAACAACACCATATAATTTATCAGGTAACTAATTAACTACATAAACAAGATATAAAATAACTCAATAAATGATTATTGCATTAAACAAGACATAAAATAAATAAATTAAATAATCAAATAATTATTTTGTGCAGCTCAAATATAAACCTTTCAATCTGATATTGGGTTATTCCAGAAAAAACCCACCCCCATCCCCCACCCATGGATGGGTTTCTTGAAATTCTCCCGGGAAGGGGGGATCAAAGGCTGTTGAAATCCAGGCAGGAAGGGGTGGGGGTTGAACCTAAAAAGGTCTTCTTTGAGGATCATTTCTAACTGAACGTAACCTCAAACTTCTAGATGTGTGACATGCAACACCTGAGCACTCCCTGAATCTGAAAAAAGTCAGTCTTTCACTTATATCTTCCTTTCCTGATATACTTCGAGTTACCTACACAGGTTCTTCCCTGTTGACAAAAATATCCATCATAGGAAAGAGTTTCAAAATTCAAGGCTCTTGTATGATTTACATACAGTCGTGAAATCCGCAAGAGAAGAAGGTTTTTCAAATAGTAAGCATGGCTGCAGGCTCTTGGTCACAATACATAATGCACCAAAACCCACAAAATCCCACACAACACTTAAAGATTTGCTGAAACATTTAAATAAAACAGCTTTAATATTGATTGCAGAAATTCTTAAGAACTTTTCAAGATTTTTACCTTTCAAAACAAATGAGAAATATCTAACTTTCCTGGATTGAAGTGCTTGAGCGAATATTAATGACAAGAGGTCAAACTACATCAGCACATAATTTGCATAAACTTTCAAGCTGGGTTTTTTTAAGGATAAGTTCTGAGAATTTACAAACCTTAAATGCAGTTTATATAGAAATATTCAAGCCATATATTGTTATTGAATTTAAGGTTGGAATATTTTTAAAAAGGAACTCATTTATTATGAAAGATGCAGCATTCTACTTTGGTTTCATAGGCTTGGGTTGAATCGTGTCATGCAACAAGATTTTGTTTAGAAATTAGACAAAGTCAGCCAGGCACAGTTTGCTAAAACAATTAGTGATTGCCAAGTGTATTTGAACAGTGAAATAAGTTTGGCTAAAAGTATCGTCCATGCAGAATTTCCTTGCTGTAGGACTTGGCAACAATGCTTGTAATTGATATTTTGGTCTGTCAATAATCCTGCACAATTCCCCACAAGATCAAAGTTTTTTCCCTGCACAATTTGCCTCCAGAATTTCGCACAATTTTATTTTCTCTTTCCAGCACCCTACTAGAGGGCCAACTTGCCATAGGAGGTAAGATATTTAATTCAAGTTACAAAAAGTCTTATTGTTATAAATCTGGAGACATATTTTGCCCAGTGTAAGAAAGAAGTCACATGTTTCTTTAATAAGCTACGAGTCTAAAACCGTTTACGTATTTAGCTTAGCACAATCTTCGAAATTTCCACTTGCGCATGAGATTATATCATGGTTACCTGGGGGAAAGTAATATAACTCTCTATGTTAAAAAAACAAAAAACAAAAAACAAAACAATCAGGGGTTTCTTACTCACAGTTTCTTTAAGGTCGGCACACAGGAGGGGACTACTCCCCTGAAGAGTTTATACAAGGGGACTGGTCATAGGGACTTGTCCCATGAACAGTTCACACCAAGCATTTTGAGGAACAAGTCGCAGGGACTTGTCCCAAAAATTCAAACCAGTTTGAACTCATGGGACTAGTTGCAGGGACCAAATTTTAGTCCCTGCGACTAGATTTTGTGGCAAACTGGCTAGTTCACACAATGGGACTTGCCCCCACAACTTGTTACCCTCGTGTGTGCCGACCTTTATTGAGCAAAGAAAGGAAAGTTCATGACATAACTTTTGTAAATTGTATTCTGGGAGGATCAGATAACATGAAACTGAATAAAACTTGACGGCAGCTAGCTCTGGTACTGAACACTCAGCCAGCTTGTAAAAGAAAAGAATCCTCGATTAAATCTCTTTTAAGAACTCCTAGAATGCCTCCAATTAAAAAGTAGTGGTCAAAGGAAAAGTTCAAATCCATTAAGTAACCTAGGCATTCACCACACATTGAAGAATAATCCTGATGCATTGGAACATAGTCGTACATAAATTGACAATGGCCGCTGCTTGACACAAAAAATTCTACTTCTGGCATCCTGTGACAAAAAAAAACTCATTCAAGATCTCTTTGTAAGGCTCTCAATATGATCTGTATACATAGTTACATAAGTTTAAGTGACATACATCGTGAAGAAGCCCAATTCATAAAATGTCTGCAGAGATTACTTTGAGTTCATTCACATGTCGTGAACAAAAGGATACCTTCCCAAGTCTTTCACTTATGGTCACTTTAATTGCACTACTGTTCAAGTCTTTTGAAGTGGTTTGAGATTTCCTTTGAAATTATCTCACCTTTTTTGAACCAAACAAAACCAAACTTATTTAAGATGTTTTTGGATGCAACCGAAAGGAATGCCCAAAGGAATAAACTGAGCCCTCAAACTACAAAATCCAGTGGTTTAAGCCATTTCAGAAAGACACACTTAAAGCTGCATGACATTGTATTGTTACTATGTAGCCAAACTGCTGCTCAAAGTAAATAATCTTTTGCAACTTGGAAACAAATCATAGTGATGAATTGCAGAGAAATCATAGCTATTTGATTTATTAAACTGCAACTTACATGAAGCAAAATGTAACAAGAATTGCACAACTGCAATAATGATCGTCTTTGTTAAGTCATCTTTCACTTACCTGATTAAAATTTGCTACTGTCCAAATAGGAACATATTGATCTCCATCCATTTGAGAAACTACGATATCAGAAGAAAGGAAAAAAAGCTGTAAGACTTGCAGAAAATATGTTTAGTCAAACCTTGATTATTCATAGTATTTCCTTGACATTTAAATATGGTTATCTACATGGATTCTACATTATATATGTCTCAATATTATGGTTTCTTCCAATCAGTTGTTTGTCGCTTGGTCTACATTTCAGTAATATATTTTGATTTAAATTTTGTTGCAGACTATAAGTTTTCTTTAATCAGTCTAATTTGTGATTAGTATTTCGTTTTTTACTGGTCAACCAAAATGAAGATGTACACAATTTATGTAGACCCTTTATTAATAGAATAGTTTCTATTATTGTTTCCAATAATCTTGTACTGTAATAATCATGTAAGGTAAAGAAACTGTCTTAGTGTTGTAAGTAGTGTTAGTAGGGGTGTTGTATTGTAAGTAGAGTAATAAGTAGCTTTATTGTTTTGTTTTAGTGTAAAGTAGCAGTATTAGCATTGCAAAGTGTTAGCAAAAATAACAAAATATTAAAAGATATCCAAGATATGAGATCATTTAAGAAGCAATGATCATGATGACCCCACTGACCCCTACACCAATCAACTTACCTAAATAAGTGTCACTTGACAAATTCTCTCTGATGGTTGAAACAACAAAACAGAAATGTTCAATAACAAGCTTTTATTTAAGACAAGAATACAGTATGGTAATATTGATCTGTTACAGTATAACTGCTGGAAAGTACTGGAAACTGCTACCAGGCACCTTAACCCTTTACCCCCTAAGAGTGCAAATTGGCACACAAGGTCATAACTTTGTGAATATTTGATTGCTTTCTATGAATTTTCGCCATGAAAATTGTCTTGTGAAGATCTGCTCATTGAAGTCATAAAATTTTGACNCAATCCAAGACATAGTTGACCATCCCCAGAAGTTTTTAGTTCCTTTTTCGGGATGCAAATGGAATGCAAGAATTGTCTCATATCAAGCTATACACTATGAGCTGCTAAATAAGCTATAGTTTAGGGGTATACCTAATATAGTATACATTTTTGAAGTCATTCATTTTTCCATTTTAAAGCAATTTCTCTCAAAATGTCTACCTCCTTAATAGCTGCTGATGTCAATTCTTAAATAAGCTGATTAGTGGCTTTCAAATGGCATAATTTATTGTACACAGGCACAATGTCTTTATTTGCCGATTTGGGAAAAACTGCCATTCGCCTTAGGGGATAAAGGGTTAACCCATTGCCACCTATAGCTTTATGGCCAAAACAGATTTTTGGACATTCATTGAGACAGGCAATTCTTACCATGGAGTAGCAAAGTGTAGTGGAGGGAAATTTTGCCCTGAGTTTTTCACCCAAATTTCTGAGCATTTTCATGCATATTTCAGACTCAATGGACCAAATCACTCTGATCTGGGTAACAAAGGAAAGATCTTTTCCTCCCGCAGAACTTAAGTATAAGTGATTATTTTGGTCAAAGGTGATGATGTCAGAGGTGGAACAAACGCCAACACTTGTCACGGCCAGTTTACAGTCAGCACAGGCATCAATGGGTTAAAACCATCCTTAAAATCATAAAAACCCATCTAATCAAACTGAATCTTACATTTTCTAAGAGTTTGAAAAGAGCTAATTGCAACAAATTTATATCCGTCAACTTGGTGATCTGCTGTATTGATGTTAAGTGTCTCTTAAAGATGTCATTTAATACAGTTTCAGTCCTTACATACGATACTTACATACTTACATCACTCTCACCGAATTTCTTGTTTCATGCAAGTATAGTGCTTCAGAAGTGGAACTTAGATCAAAAGTCACCAAACATTGCTCTAACAGAATGAAGTCCTATAATTTTTTTGACATTATATGTACTTTTGAACAGTAGTTGAAGAAAATAAGAGAAGTGTGAGATCACTACAGCACTAAAGCCAACCTGGAAAAGTAAAATTCCAACTGATGCCTTAGAAGAACTTTGAGATCTTCAACAGGAAGTTTATCTGGTGACAATTCTGGAGGAATAGCAATGACTTCAGGAGTAACAGGGCTACTGTAAGGCTCATAGCCATTCACTGTCGCGTTGGGACTGTACTGCATGTTATCCAGATCATTTGATGATGTGGATTGCTGCCGTTGATCAGGAGAAGTCACTGGAGGAGTCATAGGAGAACCAACTCCATCTTCAGATAGTGTCATGTGACTGAAAAAGTTAAAGCAGTTAAATGCAATTTCTTAAATGTAGTGCTTCCAAGAGATTCGGATCATGCAGATATGCTAGCAGATAAAAGAAAGCACTTCATTATCATCAAAAGAACTAGAATCAACATGACTATGTACGCTCATTCTTCACCTTGGTGTGTAAATAAACGAACAATTATTCTTGTCACAAGGTCTGAAAAATCGTAAACGAAGCTTTTGACTGTATTGCACAGTCTTCATCAGCGACTTTAATCGCTGATGAAGACTGTGCGATACAGTCAAAAGCTTCGTTTACGATTTTTCAGACCTTGTGACAAGAATAATTGTTCGTTTAGAATCAACATGTGCATTCACTGGACAAACATTATTTTACAATGTCAGATTTAAATTGAACAAAAGCTAAGTTTTTTTGCCATTTTCTGCTGAAAGAAATGCTCCATTTGTTTCAGCAGAAGCACAGGGTGCCTGCCATGTTTGCATTTCCCTTCCTTTCACTGCAGTACACTAGAAGCCGTTCTTTTTCATGTGCGTGAATGCTAAAAAGGAATTCTTTCTCTGATTTAAATAACGTACAGTCGACTCCCAACCACTTGAACCCTTGCTAACCCAAACCAAAATTGATTTGGCCTGGATTTCCACCATGCGTTTACTGCAATTTAACCCTCAGTTAAACCCAAACCCTCGATAACTCAAACCTCCCTCTAACTGCCAAAGCAATTTTTGTTTCCCTCTGGGTCATTTTCTGAACAATTTTATCCTCGATAACTCAAACCATGTTTGTCAAAATGTGACAACTCAAAAAAAACAGTACTGTAGTCCAAAACATTAAAACGATTTGTCGAAAAAACTAAATTGCACGAACTCTATAGCAGTAGCCCAATACTGTTGTTAAGAAGACAGTTCTAAAGTGGAGTGACGCGCAAATAGCGTGCGCACACAGAAACTTTTTGAGTTTATGTTATGCATACATTTGTTGCGCATACAAATTTAAATTGCATGTATGTTTATCGTGCAAGTTTTTGGAGTTTTCAGCGAGATGTTGTGTTTTTTAGAGAGGTTTGTGCTGCTTAGAGTTGACCATTTTACTGATTTGGAAGTGCTTTGGCTGATTACCACTCCGTTTACCGCTCGTGAGCAGCTGTTATTTTTGAAAATAGATGAACAGTTAATTTACAGATGATCAACTCCTATTCAGGACAATTTCAAGTCCCGACCTAGTCATTCAAAATCACTTGTTATTTTTTGAGGTTGCTTTATAGACATGACCTCACTTATTATTTAACAGTCTACATTCATGAAGTCAAGCACTACGATTTCAAATTTCATTGGTAACAGTTTTTCAGTTCCATGTCCAGGGATCAATCAGAAACAATAATTGTTAACAGAAATTTTTTTTGTCAAAATTTCACTCTGGATTTGGAAACAAATATCTAACATATCTAAACCGGTTAGAACCAAGACAAAATTACAAGGATTTGTATGCAGTCACTGAAACATGAAAGGGCCAATATCTCACCCCCAAATTGCAATAAGATGCTGATTTTTGGCAAGTAGGCATTCTTCATCATGTACTGTCAGACTATCTCAGTAAATTCCATAATTTCATAAATTTAGTTTTTGTGACGTTGTCACTTCAGTACTCTATACAGATGGGATGTAGTCTATTAATTTATGTGCATTGTGTACAACATTGTTTAATGCCAACTAAAGTAATGTCTTGGCAAACAAGGACAACAAGAAGAGAAATGTCAGATTGGATGTGGAGGAAACATATCAAAGACCAAAAAAGCTATTCATTGCTGAAATATTTGCATGCTTCCATACTTGTCTAGTTATGGATTTAAAGGTCAAATGAACCAAAATTTAGACATTTTCTTTCATTTGAGTGCAATGTGTTCATTAAGTATAAAATAAACATATTCTAAAGTTTTAAACGAATTGGACGAAACATTGCTGAGATATTGGAATGTTAAAATCACTGTTTTTTATCCTTCATAATCGTACAGCGGTCGGGAAAACTGTCGGATAATTGCTGGAAATAAAACTTGTGACGTCACTGTCAGTGAGCTCAAGAAATGTGGGAAATTTAAAACTGTTTTGGTTTCAAGTTCACAGTGAACTTCAGAGGAAAACCACTCAAAACCAAAAGTTAGCCCTTTCAAGTTCCCCCAGGACCCAAAACTTAAAAGAGAATGGCTTGCAAAAATGAAAAGAGAATGCTTCAAGACCTCAAAGCATCTGCGCGTTTGTGTAAAATACTTTACCGAAGACAGCTTTGAAAAAAGTCTTGTAATAATGAGTTTGTTGGGACCCTCTTTCAAGCTTCGTCCACTTGTAGTCAAGAAAGATGCAGGTAGCGATGATTTTTAACTTCACTATGGAACGTTGCAAGCTGGCAATTGGGCAAAAAACAATGAAAAACAAGTGAATAATGCCCTCCAAACAGCGGGTGAACTCCTCAGCAATTTCCCAAGTAAAATAAGGTTTGTATTTAGATCCAAAACCTTCCCCACGAAAGGCTCGCTGACACAGAAACGCATCAATGTTCAAGACAACAACGACGTCACAAAGCAGAGTCTCAGTCCCATTCCTTCCATTAAAGTGCACGGTCATTTTGGAAATGTCTTCGTGAAGGCATCGGCTGTCTTCGTACTTTCAACTTTTTTACTCCTTTTCACAGCTCAGAAAGAAAAATTTCCGCATAAGTTTCCCTTTACATGTTTTTTTGTAATATTTTGTTGCTATAAAATGGCTGAAGAAAAGAGATCTAAATTTTGGTTCATTTGACCTTTAACTGGATGATAAATAAAGTACATTTCAGAACACCAACCTCAAACAATCAAATGCAGCAGCATTAGGATTCAGAGACCCTTTGAAAGCAGAAGGGACAACCTGGAAAAAAATGACAAATAAACTTGAAACAAACGTTTTCTTAGAATGCAGGAAAAACTCCTCTGTGATGTTGTTTCTTTTCTAAAGGAGCACCAAGATTGCACCAGATTATCCTGAATCACATTCAAATCTTCAAACCTGCCCCAATCTGTCATGTGCTACTGCAAATAACCAGCTCAACACCATTCTTTGCTATCAGATGTTTCATCAGCTACAACTATTTGCTTCATTGTTTTAAAATTTTAATTTCACTAGGAGCCGCCTCAATAAGTCATTATCCGAGTATAATTTTTCAAGTACTTCAGCAGGACATTTTTTGCATCTTTCAAACAAATTTGGACACAGATTAAAGGCATTGCAACCCAAGAATTGAAGGATCATGTCGCTGGCAGGGAAATTATCACCAAGCTAAAGCCTGGTGCTCACAAGAGTAAAGTATCAATGAGTCAAATGAGTCCATGAGTCAAGTAAAAAACAAAAAAAACTGAAATTTTGCAATTACAAAATAAAATTAAGGACTCTATTTACAAGCCTCAATGAAATGGATCAGGTGACCCTTCTCCATTTTAAAATTTACATTCTGCATTGCACAGTCTCTATTGCTTTTTTATGAAGTAATCTACTTGAAAGAAAAACATTTAGTCCTGGGGATGAGGATGAGTCTCAGCATATGTGAAGTTAGTCCGGTATAATGTTATTAGAACTACAGAGGCTAAGCATGACATTCACAGCAAATGGCAGAGATTGAATATTTAACGTGTATTTTATGACTTTCTTCTCTATTTTGTCTTTTTTATCTGATTTACGTAGTACAAAAAAGTGAACAAAATCTGAATAATCTTTTGGTGCTTGCAATGAACGTCTTGCTAGCCCTCCTATTTTTTGTTTTAAAAAATCCACATAATGAAAAAAAAAAAACCTTCATTTACCCTTGGCAGGGACTCAAAAGTGAGCGTGACAAGCTCAGACACAGGCACAGAGTGTACTGGATATAGTCCTTTGATTGCCGATGCCCTATTCCCTCTATATAATGCATTGAATCATGGGAGTTGTCTGCAACATTGCATGCCAAGTCTTCAAGATGTTGTGCATGTGATGCATTCAACTACCATGATTTTCTGCACACAATTCTCTTAGAGTGACTAAGGCAATTACAGTAATTGTTGGAGGAGGGGATCAGAGGGGGTGTTCCTTCAGCCGTAGAGAAGCTTTCACGGAACCGAAAAAAGTAAGGGTTGTGAGAATCACAAACAAATGAAGAAGCTAGTCATAAAAGGGGATAAGTGACGATTTTGGTTGCTTTTCTTTTTTTTTGCTCCAAATTAGCTGAATTTTTGCATGTGGTCTTCAATGTAATAGAAAAACGTGTCCCTGTATTTTTGCCGCTGGTTTTTG